CAAAACAAATAACACGCACCATATGTTCGAAACGACGCTTTGATTTATTAACAACTAGGCTCGTGGTCAGCTGGGATGAGCTCACGCATCGTCTGATGACTTACCCGTCTCAAATGTCCCCAGAAAATTCAAAATGACTGCCAGAGAACTTCTAAATTCAGCTAAAAAGATCTGTAAATGCGCACTCACATGAAATGAGGGCAACAAGCCAGGGGTTACCCGTCTCGAACACTTTTTGTAGGAGTGTTGCCACAACCGCCAACTGGCCAACACACCTCAAAGCGGCGACCATTAACGACACACCTACTCCAAGGTGACATACTGTCGAGACGCCAACATCGAATACGATGAAAGCCATCGCCATTGCGACGTTCGCCCAGGACAGGTCTGCCTGCCCATGAATAGGCTCCCCGATGCCTCCAACCTGCCAAGTGGTCAGGTTGGTCAGCGCGAACTGTGCTGAGTGCATCGGCTTCTTCCCAGTATCCAGACGACGGCTCTGAAGACGGTATACGAGGAAACAAGTCTGCGTATGTGACCCTCGTAAGAAGCTAAAGTGATCCGAATGACATAATTATCGGAGTTGTATCGGAGGTAGAATTCCAACTGATTCTCCGCTTCGACTGGTAAAGCATTACCATGGGGAAAGTGAAAGACCTGGTTTGCCACTTCCAATGTACGAGGACGGAACTCGACGGGGAATCTTGAAGATATTTCTATGGGGTGGACTCAAGTTTGACTCTCGTTTTACATTCTATATGAAACGAAAGGTATTCTAAGTATTTGCAGGTCATACATGTCTTCTACGAACTCAGTATTCGGGCCTCCGACTTGATGTGGCGCCATACCAAATAGGATTACCGATGAACACCAGGCGCCATATCGAGCGTCGCCAAACCACCAGGAAGGGAACAAACCCAGGGATCCTCCCGACTCTTCACATTATTTGAAGCGGGACTCAAAACGACCCCCTTGTCGCTCGCCGCCAAGAATGTGTCGCTCAAGATGATATCATCATCATGATCTTGAAATTCTCCTTGTGAAGGAGAATCGGATACTGACAAAAATCCCAGAGTTGGGGTTGTTGGCGAGAATAGGCTCTGTGGGAGCTCAATTGTTGCTGATTCGGGGCGGTGAAGGAACTATATATATGTCCGCAGTGAGGCTTACTCATATAATTCGTGGTAGGAAAAACGCACTTGAACGAGTGTCCCAGAATTCGGAGCTCTCTGTGAGTCAACGGAAAGGCTCCCTCGAGAAGGGTCGCCCGCTGTAATCCGATAGGTTCGTCCTATTTTTTCGCCAGGGAGGACAACACCCAGCGAATACTGTTCAATGCCGCTTCCTTCTAGCCCGGCTTTGCGGATATCCGACAGAAGGAGCTTTGTAGGATTAGCGTTGTTGATGGTGTTGACCAAGTTGCCCTCGCAGCTACAATCTTGAGCTACCTTACACCATGGGGTCATAAGAGGAGAGTACCTTGTTATCGTCATGGGCTCGGAGAGTGTTTTCATACCAAGGTAATCCACGCGGGCAGCCTTTCCTAATGAGAGAGCGACTCCAACAGCTCCGGAGCCGTGGATTTTCCCATTATGAAACAGAGTCACTGGCCGTCCGGTGATAAAGGGAGTCGGGGTGCCGATAAGCCCTAGCTGGGA